CTTCGTAGGCTGCCTCTCTGCCAAGTATAAGGTCAGACACCAGCCAGGAAAACTGTACTCTTACATTGGCATAGGAGCAGGGTGGTGTTTTAGAATTAATTCAATTTTACCAGACCTGATTTACAAGTTCTGATTATTTTTCAGAATGAAGCAAGGCCTGTGGGTGTCTGGGCAGAGGAGGAGAGGTTGACAGAGATACTGGAAGGGGAGAGAACAGAGGCAGGGGAAGATATAGTTAGAAAAGAGTACATATATAGTGGTAGGTGAGGCCCACTTTCATTAATGAGTCTCCGGTGTCTGCAGCTATTGAGATGGGAGACTTTTGTATGGAAGCAAATGTGATTAAAAACAAATTTGATTAAAAATTCACTTTTGTCAAGTCTAGATTCTACATTTACCCCCAAATAGAGAATTTATAAGGAACTTTTACTTGCTAAGGATGACATGAAAAGAGGTGTTCCTTCAAGAGCGCACTTTCTGCCCAAATATTGTTACTTCCTACAGATTTTCCCCAAACTTACCCTCAATTCCTTACTGCCATCTTATAATTTTATGTTTTGCAAAGCAACCAATTCCAGATGAACGGGTGACTGAGAGGAAGTTAATCTGTTTCTTCCAGCATCACAGATCACAGTCTTCCTTACTCTAATCCTTTTCTTAAAAGTTGGCACCACCTTACTTTGAAAGTATTCATGTTCCTTTCCTTTCATTTTTAGTGAAGTGACTTAAACTATTTTCCCCTTAAATCTTGTATAAAACCCCCAGCTTCCATATTTAGATTCTTTTCCATATGAACTTTAGTGATAAAGGTTGCTATACAGAGTTTTAGTAGTCTGAAAAGTATGAAGTGGTAATGGGTATACACTGGGTCACTATTTTAGATGCATTCTAAATAATAGGATAATTTCTTTCATTTGGTATACTATTATAGCTGTATAATTCATATAAGCCATAAACAAAAATTTCATATTTTTGGCAAACACCAGATTTGTGCTGGTTAGTTTTAGTAGTAGATAGACCCTTAACATTTTTGAACAATGTGTCCTTCCTAAAATCCCAAAGACTCAAATACAGTACAGTATGTACTTTTACTTCAAAATGGAATAAACAACCAAGTTGGGTTGGAACGTAGGCAGTAGGCTGGGTTCACTCACTTGCTAAAAGCTAATCTCACATTCAGTCTTAGTTAAATGTCAGATTCTGTGCTGCAGCTAAATCAACTATGTTAAAGGCTGTGTGGGGTGGGGTAGGGTGGAGCTTAAAAAGAGTCAAGGCCAAATGATAAACCTGGGCAGACCAGTTTTGCTTTTCATCTCATTACTCTGCAGAGTTTTCATTTTGACTCTTAACTAGTTAGATAGCAACTCAGTTTTCAATACATGGTAAGTGGGACCAGAGGGGAAAATTCCAATTAGCTTGATGAAGTGTTTCTGGAACACTTTTTAAAACGAGGCAGCATGTGCTTTGTTATC